TTTTCTGCTTCTTGCATTTTTGTCTGATAATTGAGCGGATGTACCCAGTCATGTTTGTCATCGCCATCAGTGTCACTGACGATCCAATTTGATCATCGTTCTCGATGAGGTTGTATGCCTTTATTGTTTGCATAGGTTATGTATTTGTATTCATTCGCTTTTATGTTAGCTTTAGTTTCATATGATGACTAAGGAAAAATAGATATTCAATAGAGACCCCTACCAATCATTATTTTGGTCAAATATTAGAATTATGTTGCTTTGCACTTTTTTGTTTTCAGAAAATAAAAGAAATAATTTCTGTTGAAGTATTATGAGTTCCAGTATTCTTGTGGTTTTAGTCTGCATTTAACTTTATACCCTCTTAATTTCATGGATATTCCCTTGTCATTGTGCAGCGTGCCACACTTGCTGCCAACGTGTGGGCTGTTTTCACTTGCCTCTTGGAACATGTTGAATTGCATTTTGTCTTCATATGCTGAGCACCTTTTTCGTTTTCATTATTTTTGTATGATGATTGATAGTTATATTCTTGCACTGTCGAAAATACGAGGTCGTTGGGGTGGTTTTGAGACATTAGAGAAGTGGGTTACCGCCTACCGGTTCTTATGCGGGCCACTCGGCTGTCTGCCTGAGGGACTCGGAGGGCAAGCTTTGGGTTGCCGAATCAGGACACGAGGATGAGAAGGTGACGGTTTAGATCTTATCTTTAAATTGGGATTTTGTTGCTTGTGCATTTGAGTAATCTTGGTTTGTTGGGTTTGAACGTTTGAGTAATCTGAGTTGCACATTTTAGTGTCGGTCATTTTGTTGGGACATGGTTGTTTGTAACGAGTTGACTCTCATGAATTCTTTCTGTATGCTTGTTATACAAAAAAAATCCAATTTGAATTTGGATGTAGCCCTTTTATATCTCTCTCCGTGTGTAATACTAACTATTTTAAAAAAACTGCCACTCCATGTCCAGTGTAGCTGATTCAAAATTGCACGGTGGGACTGTGTTCTTTACAACATCAATTTGATAGACAGATTAGTTTCTGTTATATTTTTAAGTCATATTCTTCTAGCACACAACAGCCTTCACAAAATTAGATCAGTGATTTGTTAATTGTTTTTTCTTGTTTGCCATTTTTTCCAGGGAGAAGATGTTATTGCTATTTTACCATGGAAGAGTGGTGGGAATTCGAGCTGACGAAAGACGACGCCAATCCACAAATTGCACTGCTTCCTTTGCATCCCGATCTCCGGGCCAAGTTCAACGAAACCGCCGCCTGGGAATATGCAAAGAGCATGACCGGAAAATCTTACGGTTATCATAACTTGATATTTAGCTGGATAGACACAGTTAATGATAACTATCCATCACCTCTCGATGCAGACCTGGTACTGATTTTCCTTTTGTGCACCTTTTGGTGATCTCGTGGGTATACGAATAACAGGTTCGATTTGCGGCACTAACATTTACATCCCATTATCCTCCCTTTCTTGAATCAAAAGGCAATAACTACCATGACTTCACTATGACTGATTAGGCAGCTGGCATTTTGCAAAAGAAGTCTTCTGTTTTTGTTATTATTGCATACTCTCTTTATTATTATGTATTATTATTATTATTCTTCAATTAGGATTACAAAAACTTATTAATTGGAACAGACCTTCTTGGATATGTACTACTCTCTCTCTCTCTCTTCCCCTTGAATGCTGCAGCATCTGGAATTTTCTAATATATTTGCCTCATTTAAATTCCATTTTAATTTTTGCTGCCCATTTTTGTGCGATGATTGATAGTTATATTTGTTTCTTTCATCTTCATTACAACTTTAGGTCAGTTTATATATTACAGAAGAACTTGGCAGAGCTCGCGAAAGCTGCTGCTGTATTGAGAGAACGGTTTTTCTTGAGAACCAGTATGAGTCGAAGAGTTGCAGCTGCAGCTGCTTAAGCTGTAAAATCTCCACAACTTTTTTCTTTTGTTTATAATTTACCTGGGATACTTTCTATCTTTGTTAATGTACAGGGTATGAGAACGATAAATGTCAATATGAAATTGGTTACGGAATGGTGTTGGTCCTTTGTTAACGAGGCAGAAGTTGTACCACAATTGGTGAAAGCAGTTTCAGATCCTTCATGGTTCCACAATTGGTTACGGAATGGTGGTGGTTTGAGCACAACCCTCTCTAAATCGCACATTTTGGATCATGTTCATTGGTCCAATTTCTATTTCGAGTATTTAGTTATGTGTTATGTATTTGTTCAGAATAGACTTGTAAAGACAAAATAATGTGTACATTGTGGAAAAATCTGAGGTACTGTTGTGGTTTTAACGGTTCCATACCATGATTTTCAATCAATAATTAGTATTGTTGCCCGTGCAAATGCCCAATAGCTTTCTGCAAATATTGAGAATGAATGCATCTTATCTTTCCCGTTTAGAGTTTTTCTTGCTAGGCTTGCTATAGTTATATGCAATATAAGATGGAGCTACAAAGATTGAAGGGTCTTTGAACATGAAAGAGAACATTAGCATAATTGTTTT